ACTATATTCAAACATTAAAAACATCGAGGGCTGGCCGCCCTTCAGGAAGCACTACTAAAAGAAGAAAACAGGACCCCCCCACAGAAGTCATCATAAAACTCATGGAGCATGTCCTTACATTGAATACTTTCAACTTCAATGGAGCACACTACCTTCAAATAAGAGGTTGTGCCATGGGCACCATTGCAGCTCCATCATATGCTACAATATTCATGGGAAAATTTGAGGAAACCCATATCTATCCAATCATTGGTAGCGACTGCGTATTCTATGCAAGATATATTGATGATATATTCTTTGTATACACGGGTAGTGATGACAAACTTACCCAATTCCTTATGACCCTAAACACAGCGCACGACTCAATTAAGTTTGAATATGAAAAATCCACAACATCAGTAACATTTTTTTAGACACCCGCATTTACATAGATGAAAACAGGAAACTACAAACGACACTACACACTAAAAATCACCGACACCCACAACTATCTACACTTTAAGTCTTCCCACCCTAAACACCTCAAAGCGAACCTTCCCTATTCACAAGCACTTAGACTCAGAAGGATATGTTCCAACAATGAAGAATTAAATAAACACATTGAAAATCTGGAGCATCAATTCACAACACGTGGCTATAAACAACACCTAATCAGGGAACAAATAAATAAAGCAATTTCCAGACCTAGAAAAGACACCCTAATATACAAGATTAAAAATAAATCTAGCCGCATCCCTCTAGTAACCACTTTCAATCCCACTCTGCCTCCACTATCCCAAATAATCAAACGTTAAGCTGGGAAATACTACATCTCAAACCAGACCTAAAAAAACTGCTTAAGGAACCCGGCCTTCTTGCATATCGTGAACCTAAGAACCTAAAAAGAAATCATAGGTAGTAACCACATTTCAGGGGACAAAAGTAATCCGTAAGAAACTGAGAACAAAAACAACAGGATTTTTCCAACCATGTAACAACAAAAGAAGTTTATGTTACAACCATATTAAAAACACAAATTCATTCACTAGCTCAATCACTAAATCTACTTTCAAAATCTACCACGATTCTAACTGTAGAAGTCAAAACATAATTTACCTCCTAGAATGCACACTATGCCAGAAACAATATGTAGGAAAATCTGAATGGCCCTTTAACTACAGAATTAATAATTATAAATGGCGAATTAAATCGACTCCCTATGAACAGTTATTACCTGTAGAACAACATTTCCGCCTAGAAAAACACGATTTCAAAACCCATGCCAGATTCACTATAATTGAGAGAATAGAAAAGTTCAGAGCAGATAACATTAGAAAGATTTTAGAGTCCCATGAAAATAAGTGGATACAACGTCTAAAAAACACAATACCCAGCCGGGCTAAATCATAAATTTAACAACATATAATAGTAACAATCAACAAATCAAAACCTACCCACATTTTCACCCACACAAGACAGACATGCTTAAGGAGGAATGGAGGCCTCACACTTATACACTCACCCACACGATTATACACATGTCGCACACCATACTCACTCACTCCCTAATGAGCCAAATGATAACACACACCTACAGCAATACACACGCTTACACATATCATACTCACTCACTCCCTAAGAACCAAATAACACACACACAAACACTAAACAAAGACACATCCCTCACCAGGTCCAATAAAACTGTCAAACTGACCAGAGAATTCAGGATAAAATGTATCCATCCAGTTCTTATCTCAAATAACAACTTAAAAGAGACTGTTTGACCAACACAAGGAATGTTAAAAGATTCATGTGAAAAAGATAAGAAAATAAAAAACAAATGAAAACTACAGACAAAAAGTTCATTTTCTCCAACAAAAGACATTCATTTCTGTAGTTCCTTGCCAACAGCAAGCAGAAATATTTAAACCTCCGATGATGGCCATTTTCGGTTTAAACTAGTCGAGGAATCTAAATGGAATAATAATAAAAAACGAAAGAATATTAATCTACAACCCAGTGTGTCTAATGATTTTAATTTTTTAATTTTTAATTTTCTTATTGTTCAAAATATATATATAAACTTACATAGTTGCAAACCTAATATATATTTTTCAGTATTTGATGCAAAATAAATGTCTATTTTAAGACTATATAAACTTATTTTATGATGACATTTAAGTATAATTTCATTTCTCTGTTTCAATAACTGGCTTGTATTTTTTGTACTTAATTATTTTAATTTTTTTCTTCCAGGCATAGTTTGCATCTGTTTTTTATTTATTTATATATATATATATATATATATATATATATATATATATATATATATGAATTAAGATCAAATATAGATAGGAATGCAAGAGAATGATAGGATAAGGGACAAATAGAAAATCTTTATAAATCTGACATGCTTTGCTTTTATTAATACTTGAGATGTGGAGGTTTATTTTCCACGAGGGTCGTGAAGGTGAGATGGGGAGCACGTCGCTCTACCTCGGAGTGGAAGAAATCGGCTATATTTATGTCAGCTGCAGTTAGCATCGTAGCCGGTTGGCAATATCTTTTGGTTGATGACTAAAAATTAACTTCCACATTTTGCCTGTACACATGGTTTTCATTTGGACACCATGTGTATTTAAAGTAGTTTCCGGCTATTATTTTTAGTTAGGAGGACTTGTTTGTTTCATTTGTTTTACTTTTTCTGTATCATTCTCGGAAAAAAACACTGAGTCACTGGAAGTTAACGGCATTCAGATGTTTGAGTAGCCGACAGTAACTTCCGGACGGGTGTGATACCCTTACCTGTGCTTTTAAATTGATTTCATGCAAAAACAATTGTTTTTCCAATTTTTGGCGCTGTCAGAACCACTGCTGGGTAATTTTATGTAGTCCTATGAAGTTTTGTTGAAATCGGTTGAAAAATGTAGGAAATACGATCCCATATATAATGAACACACACACACACAATCTGCGTTTTATAATAAGTAAGATTTTTGGTAAGATTCAGGATGAATTTTTAATATGTACACCTTTGATATAGCATAAATATTTACTGAAATAACATCTTCAGAGTTTTTTTCTTTATATAACTGTAAAAAGAATTTGACAAAATCTCCCTCAATTAAAAAGTACTTATAAGATATTGAAGGTGGGGGTGGTGAAACAAACCTTCCCAAAGTTTTCTAATACAATAGCCTATTCAGTAGATAATTCATTCATTAATGAATAAGTATGTAAAATTTTGTTTGAATTGGATAATTCCCAGATTTTTGACAAATATTTTAAAATGTGATTTTTTGTTTTTTAGTTTCATTTTGGAAAAAAAAAACATTTTGGTGATACCTATAGGATATATAGCAATTGAAAGGTTAAGGTTTTAGTAATCTGGGAGGCATCCTCTCAGGTGTCTGTTCCATAATGCAACAGTTCTGAGAAAAAAGCTGTCTGTGGAAGTTCTTCCTCACCAATGGAATATGAAGGAAATGAGGATGCATTGAACTCACTGTATGTGTCCTGGCTATGAAGGTCTTAACTGGTGGAACCAAGGATTGTAGTGTGCCTGAACATCTGCCATGAAAATAGATGCTAGCAATGTTCATTTGTGGGAAAAGAGTTGTACAGTGGAAAACAATTCATCATCCACAAGGATGCTGTATGGATTTTTATTTACATAGTTTTATTTAACACAAGGCCACAACATTCACCTCTTTTTTTTTTTTTTTTTTTTTTTAACGAGTCAGTTCTATCAGTTCTGTGTATAGAAATCAAGGATGTACTGTTGATTTAAAATCTTGGACAACAACAACTAATTTCTTATAATTTTTAACTATGAAGCAGAGACTCAAGAAATATAAAACAGAAAATATTTTGGTTAACAATATTCATCATTCTTTAGTGAACAGTATAATATTTTTCTATAAGTTTTACTTAATTTTCTTGCTGTTTTGGTTTATTGAGAAAAGTAGGGGTGGAATAGACAATGATTTTTTGATTTTTTTTTAAATACCATGTCCAAAGTTCCAATTTTTTTCCATTTTGTTAAATACTTTCCCTGAATGTTACCTGGATTGACAGACAGGAGGTCATCAGGCTCAATGGCTGAAACATTGTGATAGTAAAAACACAGATTGAGGACATTAGTGTGTGAAAGGTTGAGCAGGTGAAAATTTGGCCTTCACTGTCCACAAAGAAAAAAAAAAGTAGAAAGCAGATGAAGTGTAGATCCAAAAATATTTTATATTCTAGAACAAAGTGTTTTACATAATTGTTTTTGCTTTTTTATGACCACTTTCTTTTTTTGAAGGTAGTTTTTGTATGATGAAAAATCAATTAAACACAGGAAGATTTCTTAATGATTCCTCTTACTACTTTGAGAGACTGTTTGTTTGACTGCCTACTTGATATGTTGTCCTTTTATTTATACCTGGTAACCAAACACACAAAATGTGCATGAATATTTAACAAAAAAATGCTTTGCTCAATTTCAAAATTTGTTACTAGGTTATGAAATTTCTAATATCTTAATAATTATACATGCTTAAAAGTAGAAACTTTGCAGATTAATAATTTGATATGTTTTAAGTACTGTGTAATTTTTTTATCTTTCTCTATAAATTACCAGTAAATTAAATTTTAAGTTGGTAGCCATTAAGTCAGAATATTGTATCTTATTAATAATTTTCATTGAAAGAAATTTTTATTTTGCCTGAAACTGATTAATAGAATATTTTCCAAATAATTTTACTGTAATTTAAATTTGTTTAATTTGTTTTTTACAAAATTTTGATTAAAATAGATTTAAAAAAGAAATTTTTTATTTACGTTACTAGTGTTAATAAACATACATTAGAATGTGATCATTGTGAAGATTCATAATATTGAAATAGATGTTTGTGAAATGAAACTACTACTTTTTGTATTTTTATCTTATTTCATTTGTTTTAATTATTTAATTTTGTTAGATAGTTTTATCTTTGAAAATTGCACTAAAAATGAATTAAATGAAATTTCTTTTTCAGTTCTGCCAATGCACTGCGTAGAGTATGTATTGCTGAAGTACCAACAATTGGTAAGCTTTCAAATCCTTAGTCATGACTTGGTACTGCAATTCTAAGATTTTCAGTGATCAAGCACCACAAAGGATGTGGTTTCAAAAGTTGTTTTATCACCTCTTGAAATCTGGATAATATTTATTTAGAATATTTAGGGTTAATTCTAAAGCTCACTTGCATTAATGTTTGGCACTCAGTCTTATTTTTCACTGTTACTCATGATAAAATCTGTTAATTGGCATTTGGTAGATCTCTAGAAAAAAAACAAAGCCCTATCAAATTGGAAATAAATTTGAAAATAGACACCTATATGTTATTTTTGTGGTACTATAATATACACTAATATCATAAAAGGCTCCAATTAAAGAATAAATGACAAGGGCGATAAAAAGTAAATATGTCCAGAATTGTTGAAATAAAAGTAACAACCAGTGAAAATGACAATTTTTTTTTTATATTATTAATATGATAAACTTAATAAAAACATAATAAAAATAAAATTATTTTGTTAATTCATTGCATTATTCTCTATATATTTTATCATTTAACAATTCTATATATGAATGAATTTATATTCTAATTTACCACCATGTTTTCCTAATTGGTCATGTATGTCTCCATGTTTATTCACACACATTGATTGTGGCCCTGGAGTTGTTCTGACTGCATAAAAATAACAAAAAGAACAGTATCTTGATTCAATTGTGACCACTACTGGGTAATTGGTCATGGTGTAATGGTTAGCTAGCTATTCTCCTACTAGATGAGTAGTGAGTTTTTTCACAAGGTACTCCATACTTGTACCAAATCTAAGGTACATTTAATAAATAGTTACTATTACTTGATTTGCTTCCTCTAGAAACATTTTACAATTAACTGATTTTCCAATCCATTTTATTGATAGATTTTTAATGTGCCAAGAGGAATATTGTCTTTTAGTCATTTTGGCCCTAAACACTAGACAATATGACTGAGATTGTGGCCCAATGTAATGCACAAATGAACTAAATTTAGTATCATTGTCATACTATTATATTTAATATAATTAATTATATTTAATTAATGCCATTTTTGATTCTGGTTGGACAAGTCTCTATAATTTCATTGTATGTAACTTCACAAAAATTTACTGAAAAATTCTCTGCCCACCCCATTTTCCAGAATCAATACTCTGATGTTTGATTGATGAAACACCGTTTTTGGGAAGTGAGTTAGGTCTTACCTTTAGATGCTGAATTGAAAATTAACTAATTGTGACACCTACAGGTATGTTCTGGAGTTGACTCCTAGTCACTGCCACCAATATGTGACCCGGTCGATTGGCGGTCGTCGCCACCCAGTGGGATCCTTTGGTCAGGGTACTAAATGGGATGGTCTATTAATTCTAACAGCATGAATACGTAACAGCTTCATGCCAGATGCAACTGGTTTGACACCAGCTCTGTCATTGTCAGCTTGCTTCCAATGACTGGTTACCGAAATAACTACTTTGTTATCAAGTCTAACCTACCCACATTGTGATTTTGATCTTTAGTTGATGAGATCAATCAGACACTGGATCTGTTGTGCAAGGTGAGTCTAAACTGGAGGCGACATCGCACAAGCAGAAAGAAATAAATGAAAACCTAAAAGGTTCGAGTATGTTTAAAGAAAGCAAATCAACTTTTATCAATCTGTTATATACAGGAGTGTGTTTTCTTCCCAAGCTGTTTCTTCTGAGTGTGACACTTTTTATACTTCAAAGCAAATTCCGGTCTTCTAAGTCAATTGGTTTAGTTCTTAGGTGCTGACTTAGCTTCGTTTGTCAGTATAACGATGTTTGTAGAAAGGTGAAGTTGGAGGTTCCTGCATCGGCAGGAATTGTGGAATCTCTTGGTCAGCTCTGCACAGCAACTCTCTAACTGCAACTGGTGAACTGCCCAAGGGTGCTCGCTTATATGGACTTCAACCAAAACCCGGTGCAGGGTTAGATGCAGCCTGAGGTTTTCAGTGAATCCTTAATTTTCAACAAGGGTCCTTTTGTTGTCTGGCCAGGAAAATTAATTACTTCCCATTTTTGGAAAATTAATTACTTTCTATTTCTGGGGTGATCTCTTTGTCCGTGATGAGAGGTTGCAGGATGACTATCCTCCTAAACTCCTTCCTCCTCACATTGGTACCTCATACCAATTTTTTTTGGTGGGCATTAGCAACTTTTCCATCTTTCTTACTATTTTACAGTCACTACTGCTACCATGCAACCAATGGCGTCTCAGTCATGCTGATGTGGCTAAGCTTACTTCATTAATTAACTCTTTGACACCTCTGCTTATTCAGGATTTCTTATCTTGTTCCCAGATTATGAGCAGTTAGAATTATCAAGTGGAATTTTGTTTACACAAACCCTTTTTTGTGCCCTGTCAAAATTCCTGCAATTAACATATGGCCCTCTTGTCTGGCCATTTCCTTGGTCATGTTACCTGTTTACACAATATCTATGCACTCTCAAATGATAGATTGCATCTTTGTCCATTCTGATTATTTTGTGTTTTCTTAACCAGCACTTTTAATGACCATCATCAATCGTCAGAGATCGCCACATTGCCTTTTCATAAAATTATCGTTGACACAATTCTTTGGTTTCTTGAGAAGAATAGACTTTTTTTTTAAATAAAATCTTATGTTGATTGGTTCCTTGGGGATATCTCTTAACTCTTCTTTTCTATTTTCAGCATTTTCCCCCTCAATTTTTTATGGCTAAGTAGTTAATTAATTACCATAGCTAAATAATGTCATAAACTTGCAATGTTTGTAAAACCTTTCTGAAAAAAAAAAAGTATTGTGGTAAGTTTCCAATGAAAAAGTGAAAAGTTGAAAATATATTTTGAAGGGGAAAAGATGTTTTGTCAAAGCATATGAAAATTTCTTGCTTCCCAAAAACGGTGTTTCAATGATCACTCATTGTTAAAATGAGTGTAACTGTTCACTAGAAGATTAATTTCTCTTTCATTATTAATGTTCAGACAAGAGAAATTTCTCAATTTGTCAAAGATAAATTCACCTAACAAAAAATAGGCATCCCCCCATGCACACACTTTCTCTGAGTAATAAAGATTATTTTACATAAAAACTTTCCTTTGATCCAATGAAATGCATGAAGTCTTTGGTTACGTGTTGCAAACAGATAAGCATTTTTCCCAATTATATAAAGTTCATTTGTATACAATATGGTATAAAAATGACAATTGGAAAAAAGACGCATTTGTTTTTCGACTTTATCAAGGCAAACAATGAAAGTGAAATGTTTTGTTGTCAAAGCATGCATTAAAAGCTTGTTCACTTGGCTAGCTAATGTGGTTACTTAACAAAGCCAGTTTTAAAAACATTTTTTACATCAGATGATTGTGGTGAAATTGTTGAAAATTATAAGGAATTGATAGCAAATTTTCAACTGTAACCAGCCATTATTTTCTTTTTTCTAATTACAATAATCTTCCTTTTTTCATAGGGCTATATTTCAAGATCTACTCCCACTCCAATAGCAGCAACAGTAGATACCTGAAACTGAATAGTACCAAATCTATTTTTTTCTTCCTATACAGAAATCCCTATGTTAGTTTAATTTTTAAATTAAGTACAATAAGAGGTTAACAACAATAACTAATAGAACAATATACTGTAATAAATGTTATATGGCAGATGAGATTTATTCTTATCATAGATCTTAGCACTTTCATTTTATTATCTTCTGAAGCTTGATAAGTTTGATCTTTATAGCCAGCAGTTTATGGCTTCTCTTTAGCATGTCCAAATTGCCATCATCACTATTGTTGTAATTTGGGAGCATTATTAAGTAAAATTTACTGTTAGGATTGATTATTGATAACCAAAACCATAGGTGAGGCTGTCTAGTATGTGGTAATTTTATCTATAACTACCAGCATGACCTGACTCATACAGCAATCACTATCACTTGACTTAAAATATTTTTGCCCTTCCTTGCCTTTAAAGGAGTGCCCTTTGCCGTGCCGATGTTGCTACATGCCTTACTTCTTGTCTATCTCACACTGCAAATTTTTTCTAAACATCAAATCTGTTAAGAAAAAAGAACTAAAAAAAAAGAACACAAAATGATCAGCTTTAAAAAAGGACTTGTAACTGGAAGAACCGAATGAAAAAAGAATGTTAACAACAAATACTTTTTCACACCCAACCCAGTTATGCGGAATCAAAATTAACGTTGAGTTTAAGCAAGCGAATAAGCCAATTGGAGTAAAATGCCATGCAGATTTAAATTTTTCCCACTTGTGACAAATGCAGCTATCGATTTTTTTTGCATGCTAGTATGCTAGTTAACATTTGTGTCAGTCAGCTGTTGGCTTTCATGCTGGCCAATAGAATCTTCCTGCCTATTCGTGGCAGCCAGCTATAGGCTCTCACTCTGGCTAGTAGAAAATGGCCGCAAACTACATGAAAACTGCCATAGAAGCATGAAAAAATCGATTATTTCCACTATCGATGGGAGTTGGGAAATGCAAAGTCAGTCTTGGCCTTCCCACTAACTTTGTGCATGTAAATTTTGGTGCAAATCCATCGAAAATTGCGTCAGGCATGGCCACACACATTCACACACACACACAACACAAACACACACACACACACACACATCCTGCCTTTTTTTTTATTCATATATATATATATATATATATATATATTGAGTACTTTTTATTAATTTAACTGTTGGTAGGGAGAGCTTTACCTTTGATTGTGGTAGATGCTATTTTCAGTACCCTAATTATTTTATATTCAATGTTTTGGGTTTTTTTTTTTTTGTTTGTTTAAGCATTTCACCCCAAGCAAGTTAGAAGTGCCATTATCACACAGGGGGTTATGGAGAGTGAAAATGAGAAAAAAGAGTGGGTGTAGGGGGGATTGAAGGAAGGAAAAAAGAACAGGTATCAACGCAAGAAAACATGGTGAATGATGTTGTATTTAGGTTTTTGATGATTGTAGTTATCAGGTAAGCAAGTGAGAGGAATGGAGTTCCAATATATGTGAGGAAAGAAACTGTTAGAAGGGCAGTTACATTTAACTATTTCAACAGTAAAAAGTTGGGACCTAGATGCCAAGCTAGTAGTATACTTAAATTCACGTAGTCAGGGCACCAGGGAAAAAATGCTCATCAGTGCAGTAGCCATGAAAATATTTGTAGAAAAGACAGAGGGAAGCCACATCATGTCTGTGAGAAAGCGGCTGAAGTCAAGAAGCTAATTCAGTACAGATTACATTACTGATCCTACTTTAGATTTTTTTGAGAATATTGCAGTAAGGGAAGGTAGAGGAAAATTTTATGGATAAAACTTTATCTGCGCAACCAGTAATAAAAATCACAGAAATGCAATCTATGTTGTTATTCATTTAAACATCATCATCATCATTTAATAGTAATAAAATATATTTAAAGTAATAAAAGTAATAGATAGATACACACATACATATATACATACATATATAGAAACTTACATAGTTACAAACCTAATATATATTTTTCAGTATTTGATGCAAAATAAATGTCTATTTTTAAGACTATATAAACTTATTTTTATGATGACATTTAAGTATAATTTCATTTCTCTGTTTCAATAACTGGCTTGTATTTTTGTACTTAATAATTTTAATTTTTTCTTCCAGGCATAGTTTGCATCTGTTTATATATATATATATATATATATATATATATATATATATATATATATATATGAATTAAGATCAAATATAGATAGGAATGCAAGAGAATCATAGGATAAGGGACAAATAGAAAATCTTTATAAATCTGACATGCTTTGCTTTTATTAATACTTGATGTGGAGGTTTATTTTCCATGAGGGTCGGCCAGGTGAAGGTGAGACGGTGAGCACGTCACTCTACCTCGGAGTGGAAGAAATCGGCTATATTTATGTCAGCTGCAGTTAGCATCGTAGCCGGTTGGCAATATCTTTTGGTTGATGACTAAAAATTAACTTCCACATTTTGCCTGTACACATGGTTTTCATTTGGACACCATGTGTATTTAAAGTAGTTTCCGGCTATTATTTTTAGTTAGGAGGACTTGTTTGTTTCATTTGTTTTACTTTTTCTGTATCATTCTCGGAAAAAAACACTGAGTCACTGGAAGTTAACGGCATTCAGATGTTTGAGTAGCCGACAGTAACTTCCGGACGGGTGTGATACCCTTACCTGTGCTTTTAAATTGATTTCATGCAAAAACAATTGTTTTTCCAATTTTTGGCACTGTCAGAACCACCGCTGATTAATTTTATGTAGTCCTGTGAAGTTTGTTGAAATCGGTTGAAAAATGTAGGGAAAACGATCCCATATATAGACGAACACACACACAATCTGTGTTTTATAAAGATTGCTTTTTTGTTAACTATCTTCAGCATTCCTGTTTAAAAATATTCTTAAACTTGTCTTTATCTTTCAGCCATTGATTGGGTGCAAATTGAATATAATTCATCTGTTTTGTTTGATGAGTTCATTTCACACAGAGTGGGTTTGATTCCACTGACCAGTGATGAAGTGGTTGACAAAATGGTTTATTCAAGGGTAGGCTTTCCTTAATCATTTATGTGAACATTTCTATGTATTTAGATTAATTTTAGTGTAGGCTTTATACTTTTGTTTTTCAAATACAGAAATTTGATGGCCATTTAGTTGTTTCTAATGAATCCTACACATTAATTTTGTGTAATATAATCCAGTCTGAGAAGTGTAATTTCATTTCACAGAAATATTTTTGTGTTTTATTTAAATTTATATTTGTTTTTGATTTCCTAAAGTTGAACTTTGTTAATTTGATGTAAAGTTTAAGTTTAACCTGTTAACTAATGAATGAGCAATACTTCCAGTTACTGTTTAATGTAACAAACAATCTATCACAGTTTTGATTTACTTGGATTTTTCTCATATTGATCTAGCATTGTTGTTTATGTCTTCCTTTCCTCAAAATATTGACAAACATGTTCATATCATTTAAAGAAATTTCTAATTGCAAAAATTAGATCTCAAAATTTTGTTTTTATGACAGTATTTATATTTTCCATGTCTCAAGCCAATCCATATTTTGTTCTCTTCAGGACTGTGCTTGTGAAGATTTCTGTCCGGATTGTTCTGTAGAGTTTACATTGGATGTAAAATGTCAAGATGATCAGACAAGGCATGTAACCACAGCTGATTTGATAAGTACTAATCAAAAAGTTATTCCTGTAAGTGTCTTTTTACTCCAGCTTGACCTTATCCCAAAATATTAACAATGTTCTAAAAGTAATGCCTCTTATTTATTTCCATAGAAACTTACACAGAGAACCCAGTTTTCTGTCTGAATTTCTGGAATGACTATTGTTCTCATCTTTGTTGTTATTATCAAAATGTTTTGGCCATTGTACTTTCCAGCCTTGATTAGGTATTTGTCAATCCAGATAACCTTCAGGAAAGTTCAAACTGAACTCTTTATTTAATCTAAGAGGATATATTGTTCTCGCTCCACTGTCCATGCCTTGTGTAGACAAGGCATGGATAGTTAATATAATGATTATTTGATTATTAATGATTATTTGAGCTCCTGTTACCTTTCTAGTCTGGCTATTCTTCTCTGACCTCCTTCATCAACAAGAGATTTCCACCCACAATTGCTACTCACTCATATCATACAGCACCATAAATCATGAATCCTCCACCAGCACACTTTAAAAAAAAAATGGTTTCCTTTGGTAATTGTGGTTTATACTGATAATACTGGTGGGGCATCCAATTTGAATTTCTCGTCATTTCCTCACATCTCAGGAAGTCTTAGAAATTCCAGTTTACATTGTTGTTGATCATTTTAGTGCCTAAATTATGACTTGTTAATTCTTCATCTGATAGTTTCTTTGTGAACTTTAACCCATGATTATATCTTCAGCTGAACCATGGACTGATTGGGGTTTTGCTGCAGTACTCTGATAACTACCCTCACATCATAATTGGACATTTTCTTTGTGTCTACAGCCTCTGTTCTTATCTCCATGACTTTTTGAATCCCACAAAAAAGTTCCACAGCTGTCTAACTTTAATTCATTCAGATTTTGTACATTGTGATATCCCTTGATTCTAAAGTTTAGTAATCCTAAATCAAAATCTTCAGTCTCTTTCCTTTGTGTAGACTTGACACCAACTTTAACAACAGAAACTAATAAATTGAATTTTATATCTTGTTAAGTCTAATGTAGGTGTCTCCAAAAATTTTCTAAAAACAAAAAATTAAAAAAAGAAAAAAAATAGTATACTATGATGAAAAAAAAAACGCTCCAAACTTAATAAAAACAAAGTTTTAGTATCAAAATGTTTGTTATTGTTAAGTATTTTTTATTATTTCAACATTTTTTAATCTTTCTATTTTGGTTAAAAATATTGTTTTTGGATGGGCCAAAGATTAGTATAGGAAATTTAGCATCTTTTTTACAGTAAAAAAAAACAAAAAAAAAAACATTGTTATTGTGTGTGTGTGTATATATATATATATATATATATATATACCTTGATTGATTCATTCTAATCCACACAGTTCACTTGCAAGGTCAACTGGCGAGAGAGTGAAGGCAACAGGGTCAGGTAAAGGATATTACTGAAAGGCTCTAGCTGGAGCTCTACACAGTGGCAGATCAATGGGTGATAGCCATTCTTTCACAAACCCATGAGCAATTCTGATGTCTGTGTCCTCCATTGCTGACAAAGCTGCCCTATTTAGGATCTGCACTGCTTTCCCTATTATGGAGAGGGGTCAATAAAAAGAGCCCTAAACATTGCTTGCTCACACAGAAACTTGGCAGCCCGCTGCAGCTGTCTGTTTATCAAATAATGCAGTCAAAACAGCAAGAAAGATCAAAAGAAATATAAGAAAAATTTTCATTTTGGATTCTGGAATGTTCGCACTCTACAGGACAATGATTCTGCACCAGAGCATAAAACAGCTCTTGTTTCTCTCGAGTTGAAGAAATATAACATCGACATAGCGGCCATTAGTGAAACGCGTCTGGCTGACAATTCTCAGCTTAAGGAAGAAAAAGGTGGATACATGTTTTTATGGGCTGGCAAGACTGAGAAAGAGCCACGCCAGTCTGGTGTTGGCTTTACCATCAAGTCGGACCTTGCTAGCTCACTGCCTTCCTTACCTAAAGGTGTATCAGATTGTATAATGACATTAACCCTCAATCTGGAGTGCAATACCTGTGTGACAATGGTTAGCTGTTATGTGCCACCCTTAAGTAGTTCAGAGCAAGAAAAAGATGATATTTACAATCTCCTTCGGGATGTCATCTCAAAGCCCAACATAAGGATAAATTAATCCTTACAGGTGATTTCAATGCTCGTGTTGGCAATGATTATCATTCTTGGTAGGGTGTTTTAGGTCACCATGGTATTGGTCGTGCGAATTTGAATGGATTACACCTTCTCACTATCTGCAAAGAATTTGACCTTAGTATTACTAATACCTTCTACCAGCAACTCAGCTGTTGTAAGACCATGTGGATGCATCCTCGTTTGAAAGACTGGCATCTGATTGACTACGTCATCACCAAAAGATGGGACATAAAAGATTTTAAAATAATGCATTCATTCCACACAAAATGTTATCTGTCAGATCACGCTCTACATCGGAGTAAAGCTACACTGCATCTGCAAAAGCGAAGGATTATAAAATCTACAGTCCCCAAGTGCATTAACGTACTGCCTCTTAAATCAACTGAAACGAAAATTGAGCTCTCTGACAAACTTGATGCTGCACTTGATTCTGTAAACATTACCAATGATATCGAATCATCTTGTAAGGCTCTGCGGGATGCAACACATTCTACATCCTTGAAGGTTCTCGGCCTACCACATCATAAACATCAAGACTGGTTTGATGACAATAATACAGAAGTTCATCAGCTTATAGATCAATTGCACTCTTCTCATAAATCATCGATTGAGGACAAGAACTCGTCCACTAAAAAGATTGCTTACAAGAAGATCAAAAGTCAGGTTAAACAAGCTCCCAGAGCCATGAAAGGGCATTGGTGGTCTGAAAAGGCCACTGAACTCCAAGAAGCTTCAGATAGAAAGGATGTAAAAGCTTTCTATGTTGGCCTCAAGAGTGTTTTTGGTCCTCAGAAAAGTGGTGTTGCTCCAGTCTCCACAGCAGATGGTGAAACTCTATTGACGGATAAGTTCGACATTTTAGATTGCTGGAAGGAGCATTTCAAAACTGTGTTAAACACCACTTTGGTTATTGATACGGAAGCCATCAGATCAATTGAGCAAAATCCAGAAATGCTGGAGTTGTCTTTTGAACCTACCTATCAAGAAGTGACTCCATCAAACAAATCTCATCTGGAAAATCACCTACTCCTAAGGATCCTATTCCACCTGAAGTGTATAAGCATGGTGGCCAAAAGTTGGTAGAAAAGTTACATCTCCTTTGGAAATATGGAAGGCAGGCTGTGTCCCACAGGATTATAAAGATGCCTCTATCAAACACCTCTACAAAAACAAGGGTTCCAGATGTGTCTGTGATAATCATCGGGGGATATCACTACTTTCAATTGCAGGCAAAATCCTAGCTAGATTGATTCTAAACAGAATCATTATACACCTTGTTGACAACATCTATCCTGAATTGCAGTGTGGTTTTCGGTCGGGTTGTGGCACCATTGACATGATATTTTCTCTTTGTCAAGTTGCAGAGAATGTTCAAGAAAAACCAGGACATGGTGTTTGTGGACTTGACGAAGGCCTTTGACACTAAATCAAGAGGCTCTTTGGCAAGTCTTGAGGAAACTTGGCATTCCAGAAAACATGCATCTCCTTACATGAAGGAATGAAATCTAATATTGTGTCTGATGGTATGATGTCAGAATCCTTCGATATCACAAACGGCACCAAGCAATGGTGTGTCATGGCCCCTGTCCTTTTTGCCCTTTTTTCTCAGTGATGCTGAAATATGCATTTGCAGACACAGAGAGTGGCATCAAGTTTCAGTTTCGAACAACAGCGCTTCAAAGCCAAGACCCACCTTTGTACACATATTTATTCATGATTTATTCATGATTTGTTGTTTGCTGATGATGCGGCTCTTGTTGCGACATTCTTTGAGGAGGCCCAACATCTAATAAATCGTTTTTCTGCTGCATGTAAAGCCTTTGGTCTTACACTTAGCATAAAGAAAGCTGAAGTAGTGCACCAACCTTGTCCTACTACGAAGCAATTCTATGGTGAGAAACAAAAACCACCAGTCTACAAATTTCCAGAGAGACCATTGAAAGTAGAAGACAAAGCCCTGAACTATATAAAGTCTTTCACCTATCTTGGTAACAAAGTAAACTACAGTGGAACTTTATATGATTGCTAAGGCTTTCAGCAAACTTTGCCATCGCTTGTGGAATGAGTGGGGTATTTGATTGGATACAAAAATTCGGGTTTACAGAGCTGTTGTCCTTGCTGTCCTTTTGTAAGGCTCAGTCATGGACTCCATACAGGTACCATATACGCCAGATGGATGTTTTCCATAAAAGCTGTCTGCGTGCCATCTGTGGAGTTAACCTTCATGATAGGACATCTAACGTAGAGCTGTTTAACAGGTGTAATATTGGAGGAACAGAGACTTTTCTCATACAGTCTCAGTTACGGTGGACTGGTTATGTCTTGAGAATGTCTGATGACAGGATACCCAAGATCCTAATGTACAGCCAGTTAGATCAGAGCTACAGGAATGTAGGATGCCCATGGCTAAGATACAAAGACAAGGTGAAGAGCAACTTGTCAGCTGTCAATATACCTCATAACACCCTCGAGAGCTTAGCCTTGGAGCGGGTAGAATGGACATCGTGTTTTAGTGGACTCTGCAGTTTTCAATCAGCTTGTCTGAATTGTCTTCAAGGAGAGCAAGATCTAAAAGGTCAGCCAATCTAACAGTGATCTCATCCCACAATCCTTACTCTTGCTCCATATGCAGCCTACTTTGTAAATCACTAACAGGTCTTAAGTGCCACTTAAGATTATTGTGCAAAATTTCATAACTGAATCAATTAAGTTGTCAGATTCTTATATGTTGAAACTGACAGGAGAGTCCATTTTATATATATATATATATATATATATATATATATATATATATATAATTTTTTTTTTTTTTTTTTTTATATCCATTACTCTGATTTATTTATAAAATTTTGAGAAATTAAAATGTCAACCTCTTCATATTATTAGTTAAAAGCAGGACTCCTTGAAGAATTTAAATTAATTTAAATCATTAATTTGTTTTTGTCAAACAGAAACACCATTTACTGAGAATCTGCTCTGAATCATAAAATAAAAAATGCAATAAAACTTGATTAGAAAAGCTTAATTGCTTTTATAAATAAGATATATTAAGGACACTATTGTCTTAAGAAAATAAAATTTGCGATGAATAATGACTTTTTACAAAAATTGTTTTAATTTTAATAAGAAAAATTTAAGTTTTAAACCATAAAATTCTGGATTTCAGCTGTTTTGATAATATTATTAAGTGAAAACTATATTTGCTAATCATAAATGGAAAAGCTTAATAGAAATCCTCAAACACTCAATTTAGTGTATAAACATACCGATTTTTGTAAGTACAAACCACCATACACATTTTCAGAAAATAAGAGGGATAACTATAGTAAATTTAAAGCCAAAAAGTATCGAAAAATCAATTAAATATTAGATTATGGAGAATATTTTCCTCAATTTTTAAGAATACTGAGTGCTTAAAAATTATATAAAAATGCACTTGTCATTTTCTTCAAATATGTTTTACTGATAAAGTCTCCATAGAACAACATTAGACCTGTCAACACATGAAGACAGCTACTGTCATGTTAAAAAAATACATTTCTGCAATGATTTAAATTTAAAGTAAATAATATTTTAACCTGTTCAAGTCTAGAATTAACCATTATATTTCCCTCCTATCCATATAAACTACCCCTTAGCATAAACCTCTACCTCAAGTGGCCACCAGACCTTGTACAGGGTAAACATTAAAAAAAAAAAAAGTTTCAAATCAGATTAAGTATACTTTAAATCAGCTAATATTCTTCAAATAAAGTTTCAGAAAAATATTTTATTTTTGGAAGATTTTTTAATAGAGAATTACATTGCAAAATTATTTTAGCAAAAAACCCCAAAAACTCCCTCCAGTAAATTTAGTTTTTGAAATACAGCAAATTATTTTGCCTATTGAAAAATATTAAATTTAATCTATTAGCTTGAAATTAAAACTAAATAAAAGTTTCAAAAAGATTTTACATTTTAAAAAAATTTAAACCTTAGGCATGGCTTTTCTTTGGTGGTCCTTTACTATATGTAGAGAAAGTGGGTTGACAAAGTTTTTATTCATAAATTAACACTGGATCAGGTTGTGCAAAAAATCAAGGAATTATTTGAGTCAAACAAAATTTTCAGTAATGAATGAATGAATGCTTTGCTGAAAACTTTTTTTTTTTTATTAAAAAAAACTTTGGGGAAATATTTTTGGGGATATTTCACCTTAGCCCCTTTTCGATATCTCATATATATATTTTAATTTGGGGTGTTGGTCCAATTTTTCCCTGAAGATAATATTTCAGTAAAAAATTTATGCAATATCAAGTGTGAACATGTGGAAATTCAACCCATATCTTACCAAAAATAATTCAATAAAACTCAAAAGATTTTTTTTTTTTTTGTGAATTAATGCTTGCATAATTTAATAAAATATTATTTTCTTTCAGATTAAACAGAAAAAAAAATCTACACTTTTATTTTTAAAAATTACTTGTAATTTTTCAGTATATTGTTGAAACTTATCATTTTGCTGTTCATCACAAGAGTTTCTTTTATTAAATAAAGACATGATTGAAGAATCAAAAAAATGTAAAGTTTAATGTCATTTTTGAGTGTGAACCTTTTTTAAAAGAATTTTATTTTTTCCTTTTAGCAAGAGTTAGATTATTTTTGCTGTGGATGTACAAAAAGGACATAATTCTCATATCTCACTTTGACTCTTTTCTTGTCACTCGCTTCACTAAGCTTGAATAGCACTAATTTTACATTCAGTTTTCTTTTTTTTTTGCTTGAGGCTGGTGTGTCATTTTGGTAAGGTTTTGGGGTTGATGGTGATGTCTAGCAGTGGATCAAAATGTATGTTGTGTACTGCAGACAAGAAAATGAGCAATTCTTGACTGTAGCCATGTTGTTATTTCTTTGTGTCAGGGATAGCATCTGGAATCAGATCTCCAGTTAAAATAAACCACACTTGATAACTATAACAACAGGTTTATTGAATATGAAAACAGGTGAATATAGTGTCTCTATCAGCTACTGAAGAAATAATATCTACTCCACTGGATAGTGGCTGGAGAAATTTAGCAATAATTGTTGAAACAAGATTAGCACTGTTGCCTCTCATTTAACTCCGTTCTTTGTGTCATGGAAATGCTGGCGGGTTTTCTGACAGTCTATGAGGCAATCCGGAGCAAATCTGTGCTCTCTTACTGTGCCCTGTGGGTCTTTATTATATATATATATATATATATATATATATATATATATATATATATATATATATAATAATCTCCATGCTTAAAATTTGACATTGATGCATCTAATTTTTTTTTCACTTTCAATCACCTTACCTCAGGAAATCATTTCATAAACCACACGGCTTTCTTTGTTAAAGAATTTCCATCACTGTTTTTCTGTAAGAATATAAGCATCTTTAGTGAATAGTATTAATGTAAACAACTGCAAATTTGGGATCTCAGAACCAAGAAATTTGAACAGCACATTAATCATGTCCACTTCTTATCGAAAGGAAGTGAATGGGTTGGGAGAAAACTTGATTTTGCTCAATTTTACTGAATCTTGACTATTTCTGGGTTTGAGTCTCTCTGAAACCATTTTTAAATCCATTTTATTGTTTACAACATAATTATTAACTCGTTTCTTTTTTTTCATCTTTCTCCCAACCATTCAGTCTACTCTAAGAATATTAATAACTATTATCCAAATCACCATCCAGTGATTTCATGCAATTACACGTTGAACAGGGCCTGTGCCTGGTTACACTACTATTCAGTATTAGAAGATAATTATGATGTTAATCTAATATCATATCTTGCATTCAGTCAGTCTTTGGACAGGGTTAAGAATTACAGTTTTTCTTTGTTTTTTCGCCTCACAGGCTACTGTGTGTAAATGTTATTTTCATTGTTTTAAGTATAAGGTAAACATTACTTTTAGAAAATCCAGGTAATTAAGTGTTAAATTTACTAATAGACTTCAAAACGCATCGCTAGGACAAATATTGGATATTAAAGAAAAATTTTTAGTTTGTTTTTTGTATACAATGATGGCTCGAGTGTCAAAAAAAAAATCATACCAATGTTTCAGAAATGCCTAAAAAGTTTATTTGTATATGGAAATTAATTTTTTTTTTTTTTTAACTCAGATTAGCTTTAGGCTATTATATTTCAAATAGAACTAAAATTTAACTTCAAAGAAAACATTTAAAATATTTAAAATGTGTTTTTTCAGGTGTTGTTTTCTTTTTTTGTTTTTAGGAAGTCTGTAGTGTGGTACCTAGTATATGAAGATAGATTATGCTGAATTAAATACTTAAAGAATTTGATAAAATAAATTAGAAGGACTTCATATTTAAATAGTTAAAACACTAAAATCTTGGTGTTTACTTGCTCATTATCCTTTTTTAAAAAACAATTCTAGCAACTGCATACATTTTAATATACATTGATTACTTGCCCTTGAAAAGCATTTTATTTACATCCACTTAAACAAGTTTCATATTAATCCTATGAGCCATGATACCTACATTCCGAAACACTTAATTATTGGGTACTGAAATGATTTTAAGACTTTATAAATTTCCTTCAACTTTTTAAAAATTCTTAATGACACTTTTTTTTTCCTTAAGGTAACATCTCGCCATCGAGAAGAAGCCAGTGAATATGAAGAAACAGATGGTAAATAAAGTTCAAGAGTTTTATTATTCCCCCAAAAAAAAAAAGGATGCATCCTTTTCTTTCACATTTTGAAATGTTTGTCTTCAATTTATTATTGATTCAAATAATTCCAATTTTTAATTTTTTTTTCAGATATTCTGATTGTAAAACTTCGCAAAGGACAAGAACTGAAATTACGGGCATTTGCCCGAAAAGGTTTTGCAAAAGAGCATGCAAAATGGAATCCAACATGTGGTTGTTGCTTTTGAATATGATCCTGATAATTGTCTACGACATACACTTTTACCAAAACCTGAAGAATGGTGAGAATTTTACAATTCAGGACTGAATTATCTACAAAATTTTCTTTCTGCTCTCACTTGTTTCACCTTTTCAGTTTTCAAAATCAGTTTTAGTTTCACAGAGTTTTATTTTAAAACATTTGTTTAGTATCTTAACTAACGAAAGGATTTACATTTCTGTATTTGTTAAGTTACGCACGTTCATAGATCAAGCCCACTCTTAACCCATATTACATTTAAGTGTGGTATTATTTTTTGTATGGTTTCACATTTTAATGGATTTAAGCTTGAATTCACACTGAAGAACAAATTTTATTCACTATTTTGCTTTAGAGTAATCACTAGAAAATGTGTATTTTTCAGCAGTTTTCATAATGCAGAATGTTAGACTAATACAGTGGCGTAGCTAGAATAAATGTCACCCGGGTCGGTCCGCTCAAATGTCCCTCCAATGACCCCGATTCACCCTATGCTGAATGGTTAGCTGTAGCTAAATTTTCATACATGCTCTACCTCTACTCTACTGACCGGTACGTTACTGTTTACATGTATGATCCAAGACAAAATCCAATACCACAAAATAATCAGTTCAAATCAAAAGATTTTTAAAATGCAACTGTTCACTTTCAGAACAACTAAATACAAAACATGGCAATACACAAAAAAAAACATTTGATACTATGGTCTTAGAATGAATGTTTTCTTGTTTTCATTGTGGCAAACTGGTCAATGACATCGTCAAAATCTGTTTGTCTTGTAAGCTCGTTTTCAACGGACAGCACATCCAGATCCGACATTCTCGACTGGCTCATGGTTGCTAATTTTCCAGTGCATCATTTTCTGGGTACCATTTAATTATCAATGATGTTTGAAAGTAAATTGTTTTCAGACTATTTTTGGCACCTTAGCTTGGTTGAAAAATTTTGTTGGGGGTGACATTGTGTCACCCCCTCCTGTGCTGGCACCCGGGGCGGTCCGCCACCCCCATTCCCCAGCTACGCCACTGGACTAATATTCCTGTTTGATAAATGGAATGTATTTAGTTTTCCTTGATTTAATTATGCTTCAAAAGAATATTTTTCTTACGTTTTCAACTATTTAAGCAATTTCTAAATTAGACTTGTAAGAATAACATCTTCATAGCTAATTTAAAAAAAAAAAAAAAAGCAGTATAAGTTTTTAATGTTTAAGACTTTTATAAAAGTGTTTTTCTATTCCAGGCCTAAAAGTGAATATTCCGAGTTGGAAGGTGAAGACCAGAGTAAGTAAGAATGTTAATAAATATATATTTCATGATTGCAGTTAAATGAAATCTCTAACGATGTTTACATTTTGATATTTCTTTTGTTACAGCTCAAGGATCATTTGACCCGAGTGGTAAACCAAACAAATATTTTTACAATGTGGAATCTTGTGGTTCTTTGCGGCCAGAGAATATTGTTTTTTCTGCATTGTCCATTCTTAAAAAGAAACTGAGTGACTTGCAGACACAACTTTGCCAAGAAATCAGAAATGATGTCCTTACAGTTTAAAAGGAAGGATGAAGGATAGTTGTAATAAAATTTTTTTTTTCTCGGAGGGAGAGGATCCAAACTGATCACCTGGAAGCAATCAAAGTACTGCTTATTTCATTTAAACCCTTTACCCATTCATAAACTTATATTTCTTAATAAAATTTACTTTGTCATAAACCATTTTTCATGCTTTTCAATTAGTACCCACATTCTTATCGTTTTGCAAATGTGGATCTTTTTCAGAGATGCTAACCTATTGCTCCATGTCTTCCACATTTGTCTCAGCACTAGAAGAAAAACTGCAATAAGCAGCAGATTCCAGTCATTTACTGCAGTAACTTTATGCTAAAAACCAATTTAATAGCACAAACCAACTCTGTTGATAACAGGTTTAATGAAAACAAAACAAAATAGCAGTTAAAGTACATAAGAAATTATTTATTAATCTTCTCTTTGTGGTGGTGAATAGATCCCATTGTCTCTGCTGATGTGACGGAATGGCCAATTGGTTCATTTCTACTTTGTTCTAACCATGACTACTAATACAGATGCAAACAAAAACTTCTGACTTTGAACCAAGTGCCACTTGATCGCATAAGTTTTCATTTATTCCCCTACCCACTTCTGTCAAGTGGGTTCCAGCTTTGAACACTCAACTTCAAAAACTTTCTTATAGCCATAAAATCACCCACCTGATACTTCAAACTCCATAACATCATTTATGGTCCATGACTGTCTTCAGCTGGTTGTATGGGGGCTTGGCTATTGTACCACAAAATTTGCTCAACCTTGACATTGAAAAATATGCAATTAGCCAATAAGATATTCATATGACCTTTGTAGAAAGCAGTCAGGTCAGATCCCCAGGCTTGAATTTTGGTAATGAAATGAGCATTTCAAAGTTAACATTTTGTATGAGCAAACAAGTCTTTGGAATTTGGGAGATTTTAGAAAAAATCATAAATTTTGTCATATTGCACCAGAGGCAATTAAAAGGAAAGATCTAGTTTTATGAAATCTTACTGAATTCTACCTGTTTTACTTCAGGTTCAAATTTTCCTCAAGCCTTATCTGAGCCCATTTTATGGCTTCTAATTATTTTTAATGTTCTTTCCTTATTCTCTGACATTTAGTTTCTTCTCCCCACACATTGTGATCTTATTTCCTTCTCCAAATCGTCATTAGGCATTTGCAGGCAATAAAACATTGATCCAAGGTGAGTACCCTGTTATACAATTACAGTACAGCATTCTTCATACTAGAAAAAGGATCCACAGAATATTTGGCAGGGGCCAAAATCAATCTTCACAACACAAGAAGTTATGTCCTTTTCACACATTTATTTTCTTTTACAATTTATAAAATATAATCCAAAACAAAATGTGGAGATCTCAAAACAAAAATTGCAAATTTGTTTCAATAATCACAAATTTTAGAATTCTAAATTGTTGAATCTTAACTAATTAGAAGTTGAAACTGACCCAATCCATTTCTGGTGTAATTTTTTTTTTTTTTTTTTTTTTAAGAAATACTCATAATTAGTGAGTTTAAAGATTCTCAAAAGAGAGGAAGGAAAGCCCCCCCCCCATTCAGTTTGGATACCAAAAAATCCTAAATTCCTCTTCAGATAAAAAGATCTTTCTCACATATGTGTATGTGTGTGCATGTGTGAGAACTTTATTTAATATTAGCTTGTTTAGTTTTGGAGGATGGGAGGTACTTGAGATACAGAACAATGCAAAATAGTTTTAAAAGAAAAATTGACAAATATTTCTAAATGCACAAAAGAGAATGGGTTGAAAACATTTTCAATAACAGAATTCCTAAAAGATTCAATTGTGAAAATGAAAGTAAGTGTTAAGATTAACACCAATAAAACTAAAAAAAAAATTATTTCCCATGCCAAATTTTAAAAAAGAAAAATCTTCCCTCAAAGAAGTTTCAAGGCAGAATTTAAAATTCTATACTCAGTAACAGTTATGTTTAATAGGAAGTATTCTAACACCTTTATTAAGCTTGTAAATAAAAATAAGGATAATAAATAAAGATTGTCATATATCTTGTGTGTGTTAAAGGTTTCTACCTTGTGAATGGTGGAAAAAAAATCTTAAACCCAACTCTAAAATTTGGGATGGATAGTTAAGATTTTAATAGCTTAAAAAAAAAAAAAAGTATTAGCATTCAAGCAAAACTGAGTTTAACATTTTTATGGAATGTTAAGTTTAAAATATCCACTTGGTAACTATGTTATAGACACGAAAGGGATTGGAATTGCTCCTTATTAAAAGGTGAGAGACATTTTTTTTTTTTTTTTCACTTGCAAGCAACATGCATTTAAGAAACCTGGGTATCTGCTTCTAAAGATTTTTTTTAATTACAGATTTTGCAAGTGTCAAAAGTAGTTGCCAGGAAAAGAAACATTACAGTAAAGAATGTTACCTCTTGGGCAGCAGACAAATCAAGAGACCCCCTCCCCACACACACACACACACACCCCTTAGTTGTAGTTTCTTGGAAATTACCACTTACTGTCTGTTAAATAAATTCAGTTTTTTTTTTTTTTAATTTCGAGAATGTCCTTAAAAGCTGCCATAGCAACCTGATCTGTACAGAGCAATTGTGTTATTGGTGGAGAGGGGTTTAGAGCAGCACTTATGCTGAGGAAGTTGGTTTTTTCCTCAAAAGAATTGCAGAAACTGGAAAAGGGAGGGGGAGGAAAAAGAAAAAAAATACACTACTACACCAGCAACAAATATTGAAGCTTTGACAACAATTGATGACAATGTGTGAGTCAAAGAGTATACAGCTTGTGACCATGTGGTTGTGTATTTAAAGGTCTGTGTCTATATACAATTTTTATTTATTTTTTTAATGTGTGCATGTATACATGGTCCTATTTGGGAAACTGGATTAGCTTCACAAAATCCAGATTTAAGTTAGAATCAGATCATCCTAGATTGAATTTCATATGCCAATCTGAATTGAGTTTCAACTGAAAGCGTATTTTGTATGAGAGACAAAGTATAGAACAATTTGAAATGGAGCTGATTCATAGTAACCAGGCTATCTGCAGTAGCCAATGGTGGGGTTGGGGGTAATCTAGTCACATCAGAATTCATTACACAGGTCGTCGAGTGTGGCTAACTTTCATAGTTCCCAGACATAGAGCTCGCATCAAAAACAATGCTGTTAGGAGATAAGCCACTGAAATAAAGAGAAAGTAACAGTTAATTTCATGTTTAAAAAGCTTTGTGCAATATTTTGCAACAAATTTTTATTTGTATGTTAAAAGAAAATACCAAGGAAACGTTACTTCACCAAGTATACAGTACAGAAGCATACTTTCGATTTTTATATATGACAAAGAGGCCTCAGATAATTTAACTTTGAAGTGACCAGTAATAACTGACTTCATCTGATCTGAAACAGTTGTTTACTTATTTGGTATTATTTTTTCCCACCCCCAGAACAATTAAGAAAATTTCCCTTACAAAGTACCAGATCAATAATCAAGCAACTAGTTTGAGTTGAGACCTTTTTTTTTTTTTTTTTTACTGCAGTTAGTTACCTCCAGACTACCAGATTAGTTCTTGTAAACTTTTGTTTACATGGCTGGCAGTTCTAAGGGCAGCTTATAAATAACCTATACAGATTTCATTCATACTTCCTAGGTCAAATGGTGTCTGATTTAGAATGTGCATCAAAATAATAGCATTGACCTAGATGTGTATTTTACAAAAAAAAAAAAAAAAATACTCACCACCCCAAGCTGCATATAAGCCTTTATCATTAACTGCCCAATTGTGTGTGGTTACCTACAGAAAAAAAAATGTAAGACTGAACTTAAGACATTTTCATCTCTCCAGAAGAATTTCTTGTTAAATTTGTTTACTCAAATTGATTATCAGAAACTAACAAAAAGACGTTTTAATTATAATTAAACAAAGCTGGTGCATAGGTAAACATTTGAAAGTATTTAACATTCTACTTGCATAAGCAGATAATGAAATCTGCTTTAAGCAATTGTTTTTTAAAACCAAAATGTATATTCCTATATTCACTTGAAAAAACTTCAAATTCCACTTTAGCTGCTTTATGCAGATTTTAACCAATTTTTCTTGAAAATTTAAGACACTGAAGGTTTGTTACTTCCCTCTAAGATAGAAGTTTGACATAACACTTTAATTTTTAGCATTCAGTAAATATTTGCTTAAAAAAAATATTTTATTTAGAAATAAATATAGCTACTACTTAGAAAGTGTGTAGTGCACATATAAAGCATTTTACTAGAACAAAAATTTGTGGCATCTGAACACAATTTCATTTCACATGTGACTGAAATATATTTCTATAAAGCTGACATCTTTCTATACAATTCATATGTCAATTGAGAATGTTAAATGTTTTTACATTAAAAGTGAAAATGGAGGATGATGAAATGCATTTTTGTAATTTGAGGCTCTTATTTCCAGAAAAGAAAAAAATTGCTGTACAAACAACACATATGTCATTTATGGAGATGTTGCTATAGCTGAAAGTAATGTTCTTAAAATGGTTCATTAAGTTCAGAAGCACCAATTTTGATCTAGAAAGCCAAAAAAATTCTGGCAGGACAGCTGTCGTTGCTGATCAAAATTATTCCGGGTCACATGAAATTACAGAGATACTCCATATATCTCAGTTTGAGAATTGTAAGGCTTTTGAAAACATTTGGATATGTTAATCACTGATTTAATAGAAAGAAAAAATGAATGAAGTACATTACATCTATTTTCTGCTCAAATGCAACAAAAATGATCATAGTGATGAAAAATTAATTTAATTTTCTGCAGGTTTCTTATAAATAATTAACTAGTAACCACTGAAAAAGGGTGGTTTGCATCCAAAGAAGGCATTGTGTATGTGGTGGGATTCGAAGGGCAGTGTGTTACAAGCTTGTTCTGCAAAATCATTCATTGACTGGATTGATTAATGGCAGCAGTTGTTGAAAAGCATCCAAGACTGACCAAATTGGCAGG